GAACTGGTCATCTTTGTTACTAATCATTCAATAGTCAGGCAATAATTTAATACTTAATTCAATAAAGAAATGGAAACAAATAAAACCCACCAGAAAAGTTATTAAGATGAGCCAAAGGGAAAGAAAGGATCATAAAAGACAAATCATTAAGATAAACTAAAAGAGAAAAGGAATCACAAAAGACAAAATAGTCAATTTTGAATAATATAAAACTAAAAGGTTTTTGCACAAGCAAAATCAATGTAACTAGAATAAAAAACAAGTTGTTGATGAGAAAAAAAATCTTTACATCATATATCTCTGATTAAGGTCTGATACCTAAGTTAAACAGGAAATTGATGCAAATGTATATGATCAAGAATTATGTCTTAACATAGTCAAAGATGCTTAATAAACATAGTCAAAGTTTGCTGAATTGAATTACTCTTTTATTACATTAGACAAATTACTTTAATCTCTTTAAGGCTCATTTTCCTTTTCTGAAAAATGAGGAGTAGGGTTAGATTATCACTTAAATGATCTCTCCCTTCTAGTTTTAAATCTTGAAATCCCATTACTCAGAAACTTAGCCAAAGACACCATATCCCCAGCATCTAGCAGAGTACAAAAAAGAACCAGTGCCTGCTTTGGAGGAATTTACATTTTACTGGAAAGATCATAGATTTGGAGCAGGTGGCAACCTTAAAGGTGATCTATTCTAATTCCTTCATCTTACAGTGGCATGCCTAAGGTGACACAAATTACAAGTAGCAGAGCTTAGATTAGGACTCAGATCCTCTGCCTTACAATGTAATATGCTTTCCACTGTGCAATACTACTTCCAAATACATGTACATGTATACGTACATGTAGATATATGTATGTATGTTTGTATGTAGTTATATATACATATATACATATATCAGGATATAACAGGTACAAAGATCAGTAAATACAAGACAATTTCAGGACGGAGAGATCACTAACTGAGATAATCAGGAAAATTTCAGCATGGAGGTGGTACCAGCACCAAGTCTTAAAGAATGATAAAGATTCTTAATGGCAGAGAGAAAACAGGAAGGTCACTCAAAGTGTGCAGAATAGCTTGTACAAACACATGGAGATAGGACACGGAATGTTGATTTGTCCAGTATGGCTGAAATATAGAGTATGAAGTAGAATAGTATTAAATAATGCTGGAAAGACAGATTGAACTCGTATTGTAGAGGTTAAAGCTAATAAGTTTGCATTTTATCTTAGAAGTAATAGAGAACCACTTAAAGATTTTGAACAGACAAATAGAATATTTCAATATATCAAAAAATAATTCATCCTGACTAAGCAAAATATATAAAAGAATGATTTAATATTTGGAAAGTAATCAATACTCATAGGAAAAATAACAAATCTACATAATTGTATCAATAGATGTTGAAAAGGCCATTGGTAGAACATAGCATTCACTTGTGTTTTTTAAAAAGCATTAAAAAGCATAAGGATAAAAGGACATTTCCTTTTGAAAACTCTCTTTTTAATCAAGAATCAGACTAGAACGGGAAAAATTTAAAGCATTCCTATTAACAACAGATGCAAAGTCCATTCCACTGCAAAATGCCCCAATCCATTCTTTAAAGTCCAGTCAAATGCCATGTCCTCCAGGAAGCATTCTCTAATACCCCAAAAGCCTCTTCAAAAGTCAAATAATATTTTATTTTTCACTTCTTGAATGCATCCATCATATAATATTTTCATTATATTTATGTATATTGGTTTCTTGATCACTTACTACAAAATCATAGAAGCTTAGCAGTGGAAAAGGCCCCAGATATCATCAAGTCCAACCCATACCCAAACAATCATCTCCTCTGTAGTATACCAATGAATACTGATTTATCCTTTGCTCGACATCTTGAGGTCATTTGCCAAGAGGTGACCCTTCTTTATTCCTTATCTCATTACTATTCACAGGTGATTACTCTTATTCCTTTTTTTAACTGGCTCATTTTTAAGTTTTATTGGGGTTGTTTGGAGTGGGGCGAATCTGGGTTTCCAATCAGTCCTTAAATGACATGACCTTGAAGTCCTTCAGAAGTTTAAGGATCTCAGGGTTCATCCCCCCTGGGACCAGTAAGGGCAGCAGAAGCAGCAGCCACACTGGAACAGCAAGATTTGAGGCTCAATTCTGCCTCCATGAGACTTACTACTCATCTGTCCCTCAGTCTAGATCATACTCATGCAGTGTGTCCCTGGGAAAAGTGTGTTAGCAAGACTTCTCTCCTCACTTGAGTCCCTATCCACAGAAGTCATGCTGCTGGTACTGTATTTCAAGAATCAGTCAATAAGCATTTATTAACTGCTTACTATGAGCCAATCACTGTGTACTTAAAGATATAGAGAAAGGAAAAAACACAGTCCTTGTGCTCAAGGAGCTCAGATTTGAATAGGAGAGACAGCATACAAACATGTATATACATATAAAATATATATAGTACAAATCAAAGATATCTCAGCAGAAAGAAAATTGGGGGTGGGGGAGTGGGATGACAGATAGACGTGTTAAAGAAGGTGCAATTGGAGCTGAGTCATCAAGAAGACTGGGAAAGCCAAGAGGTAAAGGTAAAAAGGGAGCACATTCCAGGGCTGGAAGGAGCCAGTGAAAAGGCATGGATTTACACCCTTTGATCCAGCAATACCACTACGAGGTCTGTATCCCAAAGAGATCATAGAAAAGGGAAAAGGACCCACATGTCCAAAAATATTTATAGAAGCTCTTTTTGTGGTGGCCAAGAATTGAAAATCGCGGGGATGCCATCAATTAGAGAATGGCTGAACAAGTTATGGTATATGAATGTGATGGAATACTATTGTTCTATAAGAAATGACGAGTAGGCAGATTTCAGAAAAACCTGGAAAGACTTACATGAGCTGATAGTGAGTGAAGTGAGCAGAAACAGGAGAACATTGTACACAGTAACAGCAACATCGACCAGCTTTGATAGACTTAGCTCTTCTCAGCAATGCAAGGAGCTAAGACAATTCCAAAATACTCATGGTGGAAAATGCTATCCACATCTAGAGAAAGAACTATGCAGTCTGAATGCAGATCAAAGCATACTACTTTCTCTTTTTTGTTATTGTTTTTTTCTTTCTCATGGTTTTTCCCTTTTGTTCTGATTCTTCTTTCACAACATGACTAATGTGGAAATATGTTTAATATGATTGTACATACATAGCCTGTATCAGATTGCATGCCATCTTGGGAGGGGGAGGGAAAGGAAGGAGAAAAATTTTGGAACTCAAAATCTTATAAAAAGCAAATGTTGAAAACTAAAAATAAATAAATGAATGATTTTTTAAATACGAGAAAAAATTTTAAAAGAAAGAAAAGTCATGGATTTGGAAGATAGAATGTCTTGTGTGAGCAACAGCAAAGAGGCCAGTGTCACCACATCATAAAGTCAGTATGTGGAAGAGGATAAAGTGTAAGAAGTTTGGAAAATTAGGGAGGGCCTAGATTATGAAAGGCTTTAAAAGTCAAACAGAAGATTTTATATTTTAACCTAGATGTTAAAAGAAGCCATTGAAGCTTATTGAGTAAAGGGATAACATGGTTAGACCTGTACTTTTAGAAGATCTCTGTGATGGTTGAGTGGCGGATGGGTTAGAAGAGGGAGAAACTTGAGGCAGAAGGACCAACCAGAAGTTTTTTGAAATAGTCTTGGTGTGAAGTAATTAAAGTCTGCATCAGGATGGTACTTGTGTGAGAAAACAGAAGGGAACATTTACAAATGAAGTTGTGACAGTAAAAAATAAGACTTAGCAATAGATTGGATATTACATAGGGTGAGTGCCAATAAGGAGTCTAGTATGACACTGAGGCTGTAAACCTGGGTGACTGGGAAGACCATGCCACCCTCTACAGTAATAGGAAAGTTAAAAAGAGGGGAAGGTGTAGGAAGAAAGATAATGAGTATTGGTTTTGGATATGTTGTATTTGAGATGTCTATAAGACATATAGTTTGAGATGTCTAAAACACAGTTGTAAACCAGAAGTCAGGCAAGAGGTTTGTTGTTGTTCTGTCATTTTTCAGTCATGTCTGGCTCTTCATGACACGGGGTTTTCTTGGCAAGGATACTGAAATGGTTTGCCATTTCCTTCCTTGGCTCATTTTACAGATGAAGAAACTGAGGCAAACAAGGTTAAGTGACTTGCCCAGGGTTACTCAGCTAGTTAGTGTCTGAGGCCAGGTTTAAAACTCAGGAAGATGAGTCTTCCTGACTCCAGGCCCAGCTGGAATCATTCATTCATTCATTCATTCATTTATTTATTTAAAAAAAAATTTTTTTGGATTTTTTAAAGAATCATTCACTTATTTATTTTTAGTTTTCAACATTCACTTTTATAAGATTTTGAGATCCACTGCACCACCTAGCTGTAGACTAGAAGTCAGGTGAGAGGTTAGGACTGGATAAATAGATCTGAGAATCATCTGCATGGAGATAATAATTGAATACATGGGAGCTGATGAGATCAGAAAGTGAGACAGTGTAGAGGGAAAAGAGAAAAGGACCCACAAAAGAATTTTGGAGGATACTTACAGTTATTGAGTAGGGCTTGGAAGAAGATCCAGCAAAAGAGACTGAGAACACAGTAAGGAAGAGGACCAGGTGAGAGCAGTGTCATTAGGAGCAATACCCAGAAGATAATGATTGACAGTGTCAACAATTGCAGGAAAGGCAAGAAGAGTGATAACTAAGGAAAAGGCTGTTCGATTTGGTAATTAAGAGATCACTGGTGACTTTGGAGAGAGTAATTTGAGTCAAATGATAAAGTCAGAAGCCAGACTATAGAGGTTTTGAGAAAGTGAGAGGAAAAGTGAAGTCACAGATTGTGGACAGCTTTCTCAAGAAGTTTATCCACCAAAAAAAGCAGTGATGTAAGATGATGCCTACTTGGGATGATCAGATCAAGTGAGTGGTTTAAGGATGGGGAAGACATGGGCATGTTTCATAATACCTACCATAAGCAAAATTGATCTGTTTCTCTTCTTGTGTTGGGGAGATAGACAGGCAGGCTATTTGGGAGCTAATAATTTTACTGATAACCCAACTGTGTCTTTCTTTCCTGGAAAAGAGGCAACAGGAAGAAGATAGGGATTAGAATCACAATATGGTCATTGGGAAGCAGTTTATAGTGGAAATGTGACTGAATACCCTGTATACATTGGTGAAATGTTAATTGTCATCTGTTTTGCTACGCTATTTAATCAAATGTCTGCTTTAAACTAATATCTTCTGGGGGCAGCTAGGTGGCACAGTGGATAGAGCACCGGCCCTGGAGTCAGGAGGACCTGAGTTCAAATCCGGCCTCAGACACATAACACTTATTAGCTGTGTGACCCTGGACAAGTCACTTAACCCCATTACCTAGCAAAAAAAAAAAAAAAAGGAAAACCAAATTACCAATATCACAAATGAAAAAGAATTCACAACAAATGAAGATGAAAGAAAATTATTAGAAAATTGTGTACAGCTACATGACAAAAAAATAAATAAACTAATATCTTCTGGTTGGTCTAGTTAAGAAATATCAGTGAAGTTTTATATACTATGGTTTTGTACAGATACTGAACTGAAGAATGCCTTGAACCTGAAGTAGTTTCAACAGGGCCATGATTAAGAGATGAACTATTGTTCATAAGTATCTACATTCTGCACCAATGTAATAGATACGATATCCCAAGATTGACATTTCTTCCTTGGGGGCAATACAGGGGAGGGAAGAGAAGCAGTGTAGAAAGGAGCACAACTTTGTTACTGATAGGAAAATAGCCAATAGTCATAATCTACACTGAAATTTCTCTAGGTCCTGCTCCTGGGCTGATTTTCGTGGACCCACAATTGGTGTAATGGTAGCAGAAACATGTTGAAAGAAATTTTCCCAACCCAATTTGAAAAGCAGACTGATTTCAGAGAGTATCACCTCAGACAGAATCAAAGAAGTTCAAAAGACAGATTAAAATCTGTGGGATTAGTTGGGTAAAAATGGTCTGAATCACAAAAGAGCTTGGAATAGTCTCTGGGACTATGAGCTAAAAGATCTAATAAAACCCTTCTACAGGAGAAAAAAATTCTACATAGTGGCAGGTGACTAAGAGATAGCATCCAAGACCTGTAGAGAATAACCCAACTCTAAATGATCAAAAGATGAAAGTTCAATTAAGAGAACAGTCCAACAGCCAATGGCAACATCTTTGTGGTGGGAGATCTAGCAGAACAGAGAGAGAAGCATTCCAGCTGAGACCTCTTAGCAACATGAATTACATGTTTATGATGACATGTCCACTCCTACGTACATCACTTGACCATGTGTATTCTTTATCTCACCACTGGATGAACAGCATGGCATAGTAGATAGAGCACTGACTAACCATGTGAAAAGGGTAAGGTACCTCACCTCTCTCAATCTCAGTCTCCTCAGATGTTAAATGGGGATAATGGCAACCTTTATTACACAGCATTGTTTTGAGTATCAAATGAGATAATATATGTAAAGCGTTCTGTACATTTTATATAACTATGTAAATGTTAGCTCTGTTATTATCTTCATTAGCAGTAATATTTCAGAAATTTGTAGAAATGTTTAACACACACAAGTACAGATACACATTTCATTCAATAGGAGGAAAAGTGGAAAAGGGAGAATTAGAGGGAGGGTAGATTAAGAGAGCTCTTAAGGAAAACAAACTCTAAGGATGTTCAAAAATATTTATAACTCTCTTTGAGGTGGCAAAGTGAGAATATGAGGATTGCCCATATATTGGAGAATGGATGAATGAGTTATAGTATATAAATATGATGAAATATTATTGTACTGTAAGAAATGATGAAGGGGATGGTTTACCTGAGAAGATTTGTATAAATTGATAAAAAGTGAAGTGAATAGAACCAGGAAAACAATTATGATGACAACAATATGTTAAAAATAAACCGCTTTGAAAGAATTAGGAACTCTGATTGGTATGATGACCAACCATGACTGCAGAGGATAAATTATGCCACCCACCTCCTGATAGAGAGATGAAAGGACTCAAAAGTACAAAATAAGACACACACATATGTGTATATGCATATATGTATATGACATATATATGTATATGACATGGCCAATAGGGGTATTTGTCTCCCTTGATTATGTACGTTTATTACAGAAGTGTTTTTTCTTTCTTTTTTCTTCTCAGAGAGTAGGGTAGGTGTGGGAAAGAGAGAAAGTAGATTTTTGCTCATTGAAAAATATAAACATAATTTTAAATAAAGAAAGACTACATGTACATCTTGGTACCACATGAAACTTTTACAAAAACTGTCTATGTGCTAAGACCCAGAGATATTGCAAACAAATATAAAAAAGCAGAAATAGTAAACATTCTTTACAGACCACAACACAATAAAAATAGTAATTAGTTCAGGGAGCACAAACAAAAGACACAGAGCCAAATGGAGTCTAAACAATGAAATCCTAAATAATGAGTAGGCCAAAGAAAAAATCATAGAAACAGTTATCAATTATATGAAAGAAAATGATAACGATAAAATAAGATACCAACTTACTAGCTATGTGACCCTAGGAAAGTCACTTAACCCCAACTGTCTCACCAAAAAACTAAATAAATTAATAAATAAATAAAATAATATACCAAAATTTCAGGGATGCAGTTAAAGCAGTCCTCAGGGCAAGAAATCCTATCCCTACAAATATATATTAACAAAATAGGAAAAGAGAGGAGTAATGAACAAGCATATTTAAACATTAGAAAGCCAATAAATGACCAGATATAAAATAAGTACAAAGAGAAGATATTAAAAATTAGAGGAGAAATAAACAAACTGGAAACCAAAAAAACTTATAGAAACAACCAATAAAACTAAAACCTGATTCTTTGAAAAAAATAAAATGTATAAACCTTTAGCCAATCTGATTAAAATAAAAGGGCAGACAATCAAATAAACAAAATAGCAAACAAGGTGAAATCATAATAAAACCAGAAAAAATAAAAAGAATGACAAGAATCTACTACATGCTATTATATGCTAATGAAGCTAGAAACACACAAAAAAAGAGGAGTGCCTTCAAAAATTTTAAAAACATAGACTGACAGAAGACCAAACAGAAATATTAAATAATCCAATCTCAGGAAAGGAAAAAGAGTTAGCTGTAAAAGGAACAAGCAAAGAAAAAAACTCCTGGTCCTAATGGATTCAGCAGGGAATTCTATTAAATGTTTAAAGAATAATTAATACCTATACTATACAAATTATTCTCAAAAACTGAGAAAGAAGGTACTCAGATTCCTTATATGAGTCAAATATAATCCTAATACTTAAACCCAGGAGGAAAAAATAATGTGCAGAAGAACTACAGACCAATATCATTAACAAATATTGATTCAAAATCTTCAAGTAAAAACACCGTCAAACAAACTACAGCACTTCAGCCAAGAAATCTTCATCATCAATAAATTGGATTTATGCCAGGTATGCAAGGAGGGTTCAACATTAGGAAAACAATCAACACAATCATATTAAATTAAAAAATCCAAAATCACATGATTATATCAATAGATGCAGAAAAGGCCTTTTTCAAAGTACAAGATTCATTTATACTTAAAACCTACAAAGTATAGGGACAGAGGTGTCTTTTTAAAATATAAAAAAATTCTATCTAAAACTAAATGCAAGCATCATATGCAAAGAAGTTAACTAAAAACTTAACCACTAACGATAGGAGTAAAGCAAGGGTCTTCACTCTCCCCACTATTTTTCAACATATTTCTGGAAATGCTAGCAACAATAATAAGACAAGAGAAAGAAATTAATAACATAAAGATCAGTAAAGAGGAGATTAAAAACTATCCCTATTTGCCGATGAAATGATAATTTAATTTCCTAAGTAAATTATCATTTACTCCAAGGTAGTCAGAAAAGATACTAATTAAAACAATTAACAATTTCAATAAAGTCACAGGCTACAAAATAAACCCTTAAATTGAATTTCTATATAATATTTTTTTAAAAATACAACAGGCAATAATAGGAAGGGAAATCCCATTACAAATAACTACAAAATGCTTAAAATATTTAGGAATCAATCTACCAATACAATGTAATACTTTACTTGATTCAATCATGAAATATTCCTTAAAGAAATAAAGAACAAAATAAATAGCTGGAGGATTATTCAGTGTCCATGACTAGTCCATGCAAATATAACAAAAATAACTATACTACCAAAATTAATTTACAACTGTAATGGTTTGCCATTCCTAACATCAAAGAAACATTTTATAGGACTTTATAAAATAATAATAAAATTAATTTGGGAAGGTAAAAGATCTAGAATATCAAGGGAAGTAATGAAAAGAAGTAGGGATAAAAGGGAAATAACACTCCCAGACCTCAAGCCATATGTAAAGCAGCAGTCAACAAAACCATTTGGTGTTGGTTAAAATATGGAGATGACAGGGGCAGCTAGGTGGTGCAGTGGATAGAGCACCAGCCCAGAAGTCAGGAGGACCTGAGTTCAAATCTGGCCTCAGACCAAACACTTGACACTTACTAGCTGTGTAACCCTAGGCAGGTCACTTTAACCCCAATTGCCTAAAAAAAAAATGGAGATGACAAGGGAGAATCAGAAACAATGGAATTAATAACCCAGTGTTCAATAAATTGGAGAATAAATTACTTAGGACAAACTCTGTACTTTATTAAAACTGCTAGAAAAACTGGAAAATAAAATGACAGAAATCAGACTTTGATCAAAACTCTGTGTTAGATTCCACAATATGTTTTAAATGGTTATATGAATTTACTATTAAAAATCAAAATATTTTTAAAAATCAGGTGAGAAGCAGACCATGGGTAGGAAATGTATCCTTAACAGTAGAGTATGTATAATATATATCTTAAGCATAGAGGCAATTCTAAATGATAAAACATATAACTTTGATTACATCAAAATGAAACTTTCTACACAAACAAAATTAATAAACCTAGAAAAATGGTCAAATGGTGAGTGGGGGCATAGAATCAATGCATCAAATTTCTCTAATAAGGTTTTTGGTATGCAAGATAGATAAACAATGAACAGATATGCTTATATACACATATTTACACATACACACCTGTCTGAAGTTTGTCCCCACTCCAATCCACTCTCCATTCAGCTACCAAAGTTATTTCCCTAAAGTACAGGTCCAATTATGTCACTCTTTTAATCAATAAACTCCACTGGCTTCCTATTGCCTCCAGGATCAAATGCCAAAGGCTCTGTTTAGCATTCAAAGCCCTTCATAGCCTAGCTCCCTTCTACTTTTCCAGTGTTCTTACACTTTAATTCCCAACATGTACTCTAAGATCCAGTGACACTGGCCTAGTGCTTGTTCCATTAACAAGACACCCTATGTCTCAGCTTCAAGCATTTTCTCTGACTATCTCTCTTGTCTGGGCTGCTTTCCCTTCTTCCACTCATGCGACTGACGTCCAGTATCTCCCATGTCTCACAATCAAAACTAAAGTTCTTCAGAGAGACCTTAAGAGTATATTGTTTCTTCTGATACCTGTGTGAGCACTTGCCTTCTGTGAGTTCTCCATAGAATAGTCCTTTAGGTAAACGTTTGTTTGGCATATGAAAAATTTAATGTCCCTGCCAGAGATATGCTCTCTGCAATAGAGTTTGAATGCCTGGAACTTCAATTTGAGAGAAGATCTCAACGTATAGTACTTTATTTTGCCAGCTTATCTTCAGAATCTTTCTAAGACAATTCAAATGGAAGCAATTCAATTTCCTGACATGATGTTGGTAGACTGTCCAGGTTTCAGAGGCTTACAACAATAAGGCTAACACAATGGCTCTATATAGTCCTTTAGTTTGATCAGTGGCCTAATACCTCTTCTCTCCCACACATTCTTTCAAAGCCTCCCAAACACTGAGCTAACTCTGTTAATGTGTGCACCAACCTTATTGTCTATGTGGCCATCCCTGGAATTTATACTGCCAAGGTGAGTGAACTTATCCATAGTATTCAAAATTTCTCCATTCACTGCAACCAATGGTTCATGTATGGATGATGAAGTGCTGGCTGGTGGAGAACCTCTGTTTTCTGGTGCTGATATTATATACAATTATAATGACCTTATATTCTAATAGAGGAAGAAGAAAGAAGTGTTTCTTTAGAACCATAATAAATTAGGGGTGACAGAGATAATTAAACAAGCAGAATGCCTAAGGGTAGTTTTAATCTGTTGAGTGAACTTAAGAGAAGGAAGATGGGCAATGGGAAAAGGAATAGACTAGAGAGGAAAGTAGGAAGAAGGAGGTAGAGATTACTATTTCTTATAATCAGAACATGTAAGAAGCGCATACAAACAAGAAAGAATGGGTATGAGGAGCAGGTGTCATATGAACCTCACTATTATCTACACCAAACAAAAGAGAAACACACACATACACAACAAATACAAATACAAACATACACATGTGTGAATGCATCATATTTTCTTGTACTTTTCCCTCTCTTTGATCCTTGTACCACTTTATATAGGAAAAATATGGTGTAGGAGTAGTGCACTAAGCATTAATGATCTATAGTTAAAGCCATTTTCTTTCCAGATCACTGCCCTTCCTAACTTCCTCTTTCTTTTACCCTGACCATGGTTGTTACCCCATCTTTCTTTCCTTTCCATCACCTTCTCTGCTCCCCAACTTCATGATCTTACCTCTGAAGTTGTTCTTTCTTCTGGTGACTATTACCTTTGCCCTTATTCTTAATTCCCTCCTTTCCTCTTTCCATGAGGAAAAGAGATATAGTAGGAGGAAATTCACAATTAATAATCATAATCAAGAATGTGAATGGGATGAAATCACTATAAAATGGAAGAGGTTAGCAGACCAGATTAGAAAGTTAGAAAGCAGAATCCGACAATATGTGGCTTACAAGAAATATACTTAAAACATAACATTCACAAAGATTTGAGGTGAGGAGCTAGAGAATTTTAAAAAAGCAAAGGTAGCAATCATGATATTAGGCAAGGCAACCATTAAAATAAATATGGTTAAAAGAGATAAATAAGAACACTGAATTATTATTAAAGGTGCTATCAAAAATGAAATAATATCAAAATGTAACATACAAATACACCAAATGGCATAGTATCTAAGAACTTAAATAGAAAATTAATCATTACAGTGAACCATAGAAAGCTAAACTAAAATAGCCAGCTACGTCAACATGCCTCCTTCTGACCTGGACAAATCTAACAAAAAAAGATATACGAAGAAGAATTAAATGACAGGAATAAAATTTCAGAAAAGTAAGATATGATTGATATCTGGAATTTACTGAATAATAATAGAAAGGAGTATACATATTTCTCAATATTGCAGGGCACCTTTAAAAATTAACCAAACATTTGGGCATTAAAATCTAACAAATAAATACACAAAATCAGAAATATTAAATATATTCCTTACCGAATACAGCAAAATAAAAATTATAATTCATAAAGTGCCTTTGAAGAAAGAGGTTAAATTAAAATGAAAGCTAAATAATTTAATTCTAAAAAAATTGAAGCTTCAAAGAACAAATCATGGAAACAATAGATAAGTTAATCAAAGAAAATAACAACAATGTGACAGCATACTAAAATTTTGGGATACAGACAAAGAAGTTAGAAGGGGAAAATTTACATCTCTACACACTTTCATCAGCAAAATAGAAAAAGAACAGATTAGTGAATTTGTTGTGCAACTAATAAAAATTTTAAAACAATAAATCAAAGAACTCCAACTAAACACCAAAATAGAAAATTTTAATCTTAGATATAAAAAGTCACCTCAAAAACATTTTAGAGGAATAGGAAAGGACATAACTTTTACAGCTGTGGATAGAATGAGAGTTCTTGACCAAACAAAGAATAGAGAGGATAACAGAATATAAAATGAACAATTTTGATTGTTGTTGTTGTTGTTCTGTCATTTCAGTCATGTCTGACTCTTCATGATCCCATCAGGGGTTTCCTTGGCAAAGAAATTAAAGTGGTTTGCCATTTCCTTTTCCAGCTCATTTTACAGGTAAGGAAACTGAGGCAAAAAATTAAATGATTTGCCAAGAGTCACATGGCTAGTAAGTATCTGAGGCCAGATTTGAACAGGAAGGTGAGTCTTCATGACTCTAGGTCTGATACTTTATCCAGATTTGAAACAGATAAATATAAGGTAGTTGAAATTAGAAGGAAAAACAAAAGAAAAAATATTTGCAACAAGTTTCTCTAACGAAGGTCATATATCTAGAGTATATAGGGAACTAATTTGAATTTATAAAAACAAGGACTATTTCTCAATAGATAAACGATCAAAGAAAATGAACAGTCAGTTATCAAGGTAAAAAAGTCCAAATTGTCAATTCCATGAAATCACTAATAATAATCCAAATCACTAACAATAACAGACATGCAAATTAAAAGAACTCTGGGATTCTACCTCTCACTTATCACATTGGCAAAGATGATTTAAAAAGGAAATAATAAATGTTGGGGGTGGTGTGGAAAAATAGACACACTAATTTATTTTTGATGGAATAATGAATTAATCAAGCCATTCTGTAAAACAATTTAGCACTCTGCCCTGAAAGTCACTAAACTGTGCATAGCCTTTAACTCAGCAATACTCCTGCTGGGTATATCCCCCAAAATATTAAACATAAATGGAAATGACCCACATGTACAAAATATTTGTAGCAGCTCTTTTTGTTGTAGCAAAGAACTAGAAATTAAGGGGGTGAGGTCAACTGGGAAATAGCCAAACAAATAATATGAATATAAAGGAATATTTTTATACCTTAAAATTTTTTGAAAAGGATGGGTCCTGGAAAGACATATATGAACTGATAAAGAGTCAAGTAAGAAGAACTAAGAGAACAATTTATAAATGACTATGATAGTATAAAGAAAAACAACTTTGAAAGACTAAAGAACTCTGAACAGTACAATGACCAAACATGTCTTCAGAGAACATGTTAACTACCTCCAAAAAGGGAGGGATGGTCTAGAGAGGCAGAATAAAGCCTACATTTTTTAATGTAGTCATTTTGTTGATTTATTCTCTTTGACTAGGCTTATTTGTAATAGATGGCATTTTTTTTAAATTGGAGGAGACTAGAAGAGTAGAAGAAGGGGATTAGTGATAATGATCCCAAAAAAGGAGGTGGAAAAAAAGAAGAGGAAAATTTTTACATTCACAGAACAGAAGGAAATTCAGAGGAAAACACAGAACAGTATTGAATAATTTATTGAATAATAAAAATGTTTTTTTAAAAAGAAACTTTATTGAATAATGCATTTTGAAAACAAGGTGCATAGTGCTAGCTATAGCAGTAAGATGAGAAAAAGAAATTGAAAAAATTATCTTAGGCAATAAGGAAACAAAACTATCACTTTTGTAAATGATGTGATAATATACTTAGGCAACCCTAGACAGTCAACTAAAAACCAGTCAAAACAATGTTAGCAAATAGAAAACAATCCCAAATAGATATCAGCATTTCTATATTTTACCAAACAAGCCCAGTAGGAAAAGATAAGAGAAATTCCATTAAAAATAACTGCAGACAGTATAAAAGAGTTGGGAGTCTACCCGCCAAGATATGCACAAGAACTATACACATACAATTACAAAACACTCTTCACAGAAATAAAATCAGATTTTAACAATTGGAGAAATATTAATTGCTTATGGATAGGGCAAGCCAATATAATAAAAATGACAATGCTGCCTAAATTAACTTACTTACCCCATACCAATCAAACTACCAAAGAATTATTTTCTAAAGCTAGAAAAAATAATAAGAAAATTCATCTGGAGGAACAAAAGGCCAAGAATATCAAGGGAATAAATGAAAAAAAAAAAAGTGAAGGAAGATGGCCTAATAGTACCAGATCTCAAATTATGTTAAAAAGTGGTGATATCACCCTCCTGAGGATAAACAACAATCTGTAAGTAGTAGTAGCTGCCACACTGGGGACTCTTCTGGCCAGCTTCAGTTGGATGATGCTGCTATTTCCTTCTTTCCTTCCTTCCTTCCTTCCTTCCTTCCTTCCTTCCTCTGCCTCTATCCACATGGGGAATCATACTCTTACATGTGGGTGTTCTGTCCAAAGGAATATAAATTTTGATCCCTTAAACCTCACAAGATATCTTGAGCAGTTTGGGGGCTAGAGTTTTTTTCTTTCCTATTTATTTAATCTTTTTTTTTTTTTCAAAAAACTGGGACAATTAACTCTTTTGTCTCCTGTAGTTTTCATCTATGATTTCTTGAATTACAGCTCTGAAAAACCAGGCTTTGATAAAGCCTATTAGGATTCAAATGGAGCTCCTTGACTATGCCTTTAAACCCAAATCACTCTGGCTCTCACTGATTGACCAATAATAGGTCCTGGCCCAAGACTAGCTTGCCCATTGTTTGTGCTTTGATAGCTCAGAATGAGTGTAAATAGCAACTGTTTCTATTCTGGCCAGAAACCCTGAGGGTCTTCCCCTCCCAGATTGATTCTTTTGAGTAGGCAAACTAGGCCATCTTTTGTCTTAATTCTTACCTAGCCTTAAATCACTGGATGGGTGTTGCCTCAGACAAACTGAGACCTGGGAAAGACCTTAGATTAAAAAGGCCAAGGTCTCCCACTGCATCAGAGGCCATCTCCAGTCATTCTGACCTATGTCTTGCCACTGGACTCAGATGACTCTGGAGGAGAGAGTGAAACTGATGACATTGCACAGCCCTGCCTCGCTTAAGTCTCATTCACTTGCAAGTCAAGTCATCACCCTCCTGATGTCATTGGTCCTCTTCAAGAACAAAGGATGAATAACATTAACAATAACAATCATCAAAACTATCTGGTACAGGATGAAAAATGGAGTGGTTAATCAACTGAATAGATTAGGTATAAAATATATAGAAGTAAATGAGCAAAGTAACCTAGTGTTTGATAAACCCAAAGTTCCCAGATAATGGGGCAAGAATTCACCATTTAGGGGCAGCTAGGTGGTGAAGTGGATAGAGTTCTAGTCTTGGAATCAGGAGGATCTGAGTTCAAATCCAACCTCAGACACTTCACACTTATTAACTGTGTGACCCTGGACAAGTCAC